AGAATGGTTGTTGGATAGGACCGTTTCAAAATATGTGTATGATAAACGAGCTAAGCTCAATCATACTTTGACGCGTATTGAAGGAGAAAGTGTTGTTGGGCAAGACCCTCACCACTATTGTTGATGGTTCTGGAAAAGTGGAAAGGAACCCTGCCTCTAGAAAGTCATTGACTATCCTAGTTGTAAGGAATGGTTAAGTAGATAAGATAAATTCTTCCAAGTGTGTCTGTATAAAGAATTAGAATATCTTATATCGCATTCCCATATTATTATTGAATGCTTGAGAAAAATATGAATTTTCTATATCCAAGCTAAATGACCCATAATATGTGATTAGAGAATCAGAATAAACAGATCTGATTTATGTGGGTAAACTTGATGGAAAAGACAATAAACAATTTATTGCTCTTTAGAGTGCTCTGATTGTCTGACTAGTTATTTGAAATGGTTTGAAATGCCTAATTGCATTATGATTGCACTGATTATTCGATATGTGGCATGCATGTGGTAGCGTTAGAAAATCAGTGTAGCATGATAACTAGAAGAGCATATGAGTGTGTTGTTAACAATAAAAACACATAGTTCCTATGAAACGAAATACTCATGTTGTTGAGAAATCCATTAATGCCAAGAAACTTCCATTTTAAATCAAGAAATAGTGGGGGTAGTGTCCTGCCTACTATTAGAAATAATGGAACTAGTGGGGGTAAAAAATCTGAGTTTAAACTCAGAAGAAACAAATGAACCATAAATCACGAAAGGATTTTGGTTATGAATTTGTTATTTACACCCTAAGAAAGAAAGATCCTACAAGTCTGCTAGAAGTTCAAACTTCCATAAAGATGCAGAATTGTGGGAGAATCCATTATTAACGAAATGGAATTATTGGAGTCTAATAAGACTTAAAATCTTGTAGAGTTACCTCTTGGTTGAAAAGCCGTGGGTAATATATCGATTGAATCGAACAAGATTTGGCATCTTTGAGAATTACCTCTTGGCGATGAAGTCATAGGTAATAAATGGATTCTTAAAAGAAAAGTGAAACCTATTGGTTTAGTTTATGAGTATAAGGATCGCCTACTAGCTAAGGCTTTAAGCGAAAAGGAAAAAATTGTAAATTTTCTTGTTATCTATTCACCATATGTAGAATAACATCCAAGTATGTTCTGATTGCTAGTGTTGTGCGTCAGATGGATCGTTAAACATGTTTCTGTGAATGGTGATTTAGATAGGAAAATCTACATGGGATAACCTATAGGGTTGTTATTCCTGAACATGCTTAGGGAGTCTATAGTTAGACAAATCATTGTAAGATTTGAAATAGACTCTAAGACGATGGCATGAATAAACTGATTCTCTCTCATGGTTTTAAAAGTGAAAGTGACAAGTGCATTTAGTACAAATTTGAGAATGAAACTTGCATTATGAATGACACGTCGATCTTTGGTACAAAGAATCGTGATGTCGATATGAAAAAACCATGTTTGAGAATTTTGAATGTTCTCGATGAAGCTTGTGTAAGCTAGGAGATCCATGTAACTATGACAATAAATAGATTTCCTCTAGATCAGTTTAACTACATAGTTAAGATCTAGAAGAAATACAAGCAGTATGCCTGCAGAAATGGTTGATGATGCTAGTGTAAATATTAAAGAACACTGGAAACAGTGTTAGAAACAGAGAAAGTTAAAATATACCAGCATCGACAGTCTGCGTGAGGCAGCTGGTAAACATGAGACCCGGCATAGTGGGGGTACTTGGCAGGCTTACTGATTGTCCTAGTATGAAGCATTGAAATGCTATTGAAAGGGGTCATGAGACACCTTAAAAGAACAGAAAAACCTTGGTATTTGTTATCAAAGGTTTTGCTGTATTGGTAGGGTATAATGATGCGGATTAAAATACATTATAGAGGACTCCAAGACAACAAGAGGATGTGTTTTAAACATCGATAGAGAAGCTATGTCTTGGAAGTCTAAGAAGTAAACGATCCTGGCTCAATCAACTAAGAAAACGGAAATGATAGAACTAGCAATGGCTAGTAAAGAGGAAAGTTGATTGAGAGGGTCATTACTAGAGATTCCCTTATGGGAAAGACCGATCCCTCCGGTAGTTGATTCATTGTGATAGCACCACAGCTATTACTAAAGAAGGGAACCGGTTCTAGAATGAAAAGAGACGACAAATTCGTCGTAAGCACAGTACTGTAAGAGAACTCCTAACGATAGGAGCAATGAGGGTGGATCTTGTAAGGTCCTAACAGAATCTAGCTGATCCTTTGACGAAAGGATTATCTAGAGAGAAAGTCCAAAATACCGCCAAGGGTATGAGACTTATGCCTACCGAACCACGGATTACAAGTGATGGTAACCCGACCCGATAGACTGGAGATCCCAAGAAACGGGTTCAATGGGTAATAACAAGTCATGAGTAATATTGAGAAAAGTTCATGCATAGTGAAGCATGAATCCCAAAGCCTTGGAGGTTGAGTTCAACTCTTAATGAGATCTATACTCTATGTGGAGTGGAGTACTTTACTTTGGGGGTACTCCTGATAGACTCACCTATGTGAATGTGGGAGTGAGGCCGCTCCCTATGGAACTTTGGAGGCACAAAGTTGCTAGAGCGTTCACTAAACCGGGATAACGTGCATGGCCATAAACGCACGGCCTATGAGAGAATATCACTCAATGAAAAGATCCGGCGTGCTACATTGTCTGAGATAGGGTTCAAGACTACGAGTCACCCTTATGAAATCGGAAGTGTAACCACTACGCTAAGGTTCAAATCTTCGCGATACCTTAGTTTATGCCCGATCTTATGGAACCGTTGATGCTCAGAGATAGTTTCAAAACTATTCAAGTGGGGGATTGTTGGGAATGAATAGCTTTGAAAGCTATATTGAATTAATTATCCCGTATTCTTTCTAGATACGAAAATAGATGGATAATTAATAAAAGGAATATTATGGAGATAATTAGGAATAATTATCTTAATAGATTATATTTTAATTGTGGGAGTAATTATCTCCCTAATTAAAATATGACTTATTCCCAAAGAAAGAGGGAATATTCTGGGTTTTCTGCTCCTATAAATAGGAGACGCCCCAGACCCTCTAAACACACCTCAAAGAGCAGAAACACGAGATAGAGAGTGAGTTCATAAAGCTCCGGTTTTCGCACAAAACCGATGAGCAACAAAATAAGAATGTCTGTTTTATCCTGGAGGCGACCGGCTGATAGTCTGCCGTGCGCAACGAAGGCAGTGCCGCGAACGTCTTAAAGAGAGCGACCTAGTCCGCGACTCAGCCAGATCGGTAACCCTAATTTTTCTGTTCGGTTTTTAACAGGGTCGACAATGAAGGAGGGATTGAGCCATCGAGGCGGTTGCCGGTGAGGGAGACGGAAGCGAGATGGCAGAGGCTGCCTAAGCTCGGATGGATGTGGGGCCTGCGAGGGAAGATAATGTCACATAAGGCGGCAGCGACGGTGGGGGAGATGGCAGGATCCCCAGCACTGGCTTCAATTGCGAGATCCCCAGCTAGCAGTAACGCTCCTGGATCAGGGGAAGGCGAGCTTGGTGTTGTTTCCCTCGACCAACACGGCGACGGAGTGGCGCCTCCTGGACGAAGAAGAGAAGAAGGTTGAGAGGAGGTCTCGAAGGTTTGGGGATTTTTAAGATGATTCGGGCGGCGGCGAGTGGAGGAGAAGAAGGATAAGTGGAAGGGTAAGACGTAAGTGGGGGTCAGAAGAGATTGGGTTTTAATTTTCTTTTCCCTTTAGTCCTTAAAAAATTAAATATTAAGTTTTGGTCAATTGGATGGCGCTGACTAGGCGATCAATTTGTATGACTCGGCCTTTTTGGGAGCCCAATCAGTAGTTCGTTTGCCACATCATTAAAAAACTGTCTGATTTAATAGAGTCTAACAGAGACTAACTATGAAATGATTCGTAAACTTGGTGTCGAATAGAAAGAAAAATAATTTGGATGGCAAATACGAAATATTTATGTAATTTGAGTGACCAAACATATAATTTAACCTAAAATCATCTTCAACTTGGTTGAGTTAATTTAAAAAATCAACTAACCTCTCTTATGGCGGATGTTCAATATTAAACCTAATTATAAATAAATAATAATATTATGTATGATAGAACTTGATGGGAGAAGAATGTGGTTGGTTGACCCATTGATTAGTTTGAGTAGAGAGACATATCGAATAACTCTTTCCATTGGTGGTTGATGATAAATGAAATATTGAGTCAGTTTGAGTTGGTTCAAGTTTCACAAATAAAAACCTATACAACCAATTACAATCACCACGATTCTACCTTTCACCACCTTTACTAGCTCACTGGTGAAATTTTGTTTGGTTAGACAGGTACATATAGATTGAATTGGGTGATATCAATATGTTACATTTCAGATCATTTCTAAACATGTTAGACGAGCCATCTATTATATTCCCAAAATCAGGAATCCAAACGACCAACCCCATTAAGTCTTCTTCATATATATTAGCTCTGAAATGAAACCTCTAGGTGAATTACCAAACACTGTATATTAGAGCTAGTGATGTGTTTAGTAGTTTAACATAAGAAAGTATCAAACGTGGAAAGAGGACAAGATCTGGACGTAGGAGAGTGGTTGCTTCAATTGCCAGCAAACGAGTCAAAACAAAAGGCATACACAAAAGCCGTCAAATAATTGGTCTTATTAGTACAAAGATCCCCCCCTCAACAATTACACATTCAAAACATTAAATTAATAAAAATATTAAAAGAAAAGAAAGAAAAAGAAAAACAAAAGAGCTCAATTATTCAGAATCAGCACTCAGACAAGACGCAACACATCAACATAGAAAAATTTTTTTGCTCCCAGTCCACAAATGCCCCATCCGGCGAACAAAATATCTCACTGTTTGTTTCCTCCTCCTCCATCAAAAGATATAATAGCACAAACGAATCCAAGCAAGAAAAAGACACTTTCGATTTTTCCAATTAATTAACCACCGCACAGGTGTTCCGGATCTCGCCAGCCGACCTGGTCTTGACGTTGATCCGGCCCATCTTCTCCATGGACCTGGCGAACTCGGAGAAGAAGCTCTGCACCGAACCCGACCCGAACTGGCTGATGAAGTAGCTGAGGTCGAACGTCCTCAAAGCGGCGTCGGATTGGAACAGCCCCCGCCTCTTCTGCAGCAGCTGGAAGTAGCTGAGGTCGAACGTCCGGAAGCTGCCCGGGTCCATCTCCACGATCGTCACGTTGTCGGTGGTGTTCACGCACTTCATCTTCAGCTTCGCGGCGTACTCGCTGTCCAGCGCCGGGTCCTGCCCGTTCCCCCGACCCTTGAAGTTGTACAGCCGGGCCGAGAACGAGTTGCAGTGTGATATCCCGATCGTGTGCGCCGATGCACAAAAAAAAAAGTTCGTGCGTCGTGTGTGTAAGAGAGCGGTATAAGATTTTATTTTTTTACGGATTAAATTTGTGTACGTACGTACCGGAGAGGAGGACGAGGTCTTTCAAGTCAAGCCCGACGTTGCCGAAGAGGGTCCGGAGGGTGGTGATGTTGCTGGTCGGAGGAGGGATGGCGTTGAGAGCTTCGGTGGAGTTGGAGATTCTGCCGTCTCTTCTCCCGGTGGGGACTTGCCAGTTTGGACCGCCCTGTTATTATACAACCACTATACATTATTACGATTTGTCCACGTATAATGATGTTGGACTTTATGTTATTTATTATGGATGGATTGTTACAATGTGGACGACGGAGTCTCTGGCGGCGAGAGCGAGGATATCGGCGCAAGAGACGACGCCGGGGCACTCTTTCTCGAGGAGGGTCTTGAGGCCGTCGATGAAGCTGAACCCTCGGAGCGTGAGGTTGGGAGCGGTGGCTTTCTCCGCCGTGTTGTTGGCCGTGGAGTTTATCATCACAGAAGCATCGCAACCCTGGAAAAAAACCAAACACAATTCATAAGATTGAAGTACTCTTAATAAATGAACTTAAAGGGTACATATGTAGGTGAAATAAATGTTGTGGTACCCTGACGAAGCAGTCGTGGAAGTGCATTCGGAGGAGGGGAGCGGCCAAGGAAGGGGCGTTGGAGATGTGCTTGGTGGCATAATCGAGCACGATCTGTTCTGCTTTGGGGCAGGACTTGGAGTAGAAGTTCATCTGGAGCTGGGCTTGTGTTGATGATGCGGCAAAAAGGGCCAAAAGGGCTAGAAATGTAGTAATGAGCCGTGGTCTCCCCATCTTTGAGGTTATGGGGCTATGGGAAGCAGATTGATTGTCTTCTTTAATTTCACTGTTGGAGAAGATATGGCCTGCAGATTGGGTGTGGGGGGGGGGGGGGGGGGGGGGGGGGGGGTTTGATTAGTGCTTTATATAGAGCCTGGAAGTGGACACAAATATGGAGCCTAACTCGGGTTGTGAATGAAGAGAAAGGAAGTCGAACTTGTCCGAGAAGGATGTATTAAACTATGATGATTTTTTTTTTTTTACAAAAGATAATCTTGTATTGATAATAAAAAGATAGTTACACCCTGAAATTCAGCAAGGCCTGATAATCAAAGCTACAATCCATGATCGGGTACAAAGAGAGGGCTTTCCTAGCCACCATATGGGCTACCCTATTACTACGCCGACCTACAAATCGAACCCTCAAACCTGGATGGATGCGAAAATACATTAAGACCTCTTCCAAAATAGCACCCACCCGATTGTCTCTAGCCTCCCCTTGGTTGAGTTTATCAATGACTACCTTCGCATCACCTTCAAATAAGACATTAGTGAAGCCATTTGCCAGACACCAAGAGACCGCCTCCCTAAGGACCAGGAGCTCCACCTTCATCGGATCTCCCAAAAGAGGGAAGTGGACACCTTTGACTAAAAGGACCTCTCGAGCAGGGGATAACAGAACAATCCCACCGGCCGAATGTGACCCAGGCCGAATCGCCCCATCCCACATACAAACGGCCCTCCCAGTCTCGTCGATCCTTATATCCTCCGCCACCGCCACCGACGCCTGGAGAACCTTATCCCTCGGCAGGCGTACCCATTCTTCATATTGCTGGTTAAACTGACGCATTAAGGCAGGGAACCCAAACTGCTTGCCTTCAAAGACCACCCAATTTCGTGAGCGCCAAATCCGCCACAGGATGCCCACCACTGCCATGAACAGCTGGGGTTGGTCAATCAAGGCCATCACCATTTTAAGAAACAAAGAGAAAGTGTGCCGGGGCAAGCCCTCCCCTACATACTCCAGCCCAGAGTAATCCCACAAAGCTCGCGCCACAGGGCAATCTAGAAACAAATGTTCCATCGTTTCCGGACTACCCCAACAAACCGGACATCTAGGGAGTACTGGGACATCCCTGCTGATAAGGGCCTCAGTAGTTGGCAAGATTCGATTAAGAATCTGCCAGACAAAGACTTTCAGTTTAGGGGGGATCTGCGCCGTCCGCAACCGGATCCAACTCGCTTTATCCATCCAACTCACCGTGGCCTTCCAGCCATCTCCCCGCTTGTCTAAATTAACAGCGAGATGGTAAGCCGATTTGACCGAGAACACCCCATCCGCCGTATCATGCCAAATTAATTTATCCTCCATATCCCGGCGAGGCAGAGGAATCTCTTTAATGGCCCGACAAGAGGGCGGATCAAACCACTGACTAAGCTTGTGGTCATCCCACCGTCCCTCACCTTGGCAAATAACGTCCGCCACGGGTGGATCACCACCCTCCGGAATGATCATAGGATTAAAGACCGGGGGGTCAAGTTGGCGTTGGGGGACCCAATTGGATTTTAGCAGAGAAGCTGATTTCCCATTACCAATTTGCCACCTTAATCCTTTCTCTAATAACTGCCGCCCAAACAGAATGCTTTGCCATCCCCAAGAAGGTCGAGAGCGGGCCGTAGCTTGTAAGAATGACCCTTTTGGGAAATACTTCCCTTTGTAGACCTGGGCGAGAAGGGAAGTCGGCTCATTCAGGATGCGCCAGCCAATTTTCGCTAGTAGGGCCTGATTAAATTGTTCAAACCGTCGAAAGCCCATCCCTCCCTCGTGCTTACTCCTGCACATATTTCGCCACGACATCCGCCGAATCTTAGGGTGACCTTCCACATCCCCCCACCAGAATCTCGCCACATACTTGTCCAGAAGACGACAAAGGGAAGCAGGAAGCTTAAAACAAGACATAGCGTGCAGTGGTAGCGCTAGAGCGATCGATTTGATTAAGGTCTCTTTAGCCGCCCAAGACAACGTCCGCTGCTTCCAACCCTGGAGGCGCTCCAGCAACTTAGCCTCCAGGAACCGGAACGTAGCCGTTTTCGATTGAGCAATCAGGGTAGGTAGGCCCAGATACCTATCATGGACCCCTACTGCTCCCACCCCCAGCACTGCCGCAAGGAATTCCTGATCCTCTTGCACAATATTCTTGCTGAAGCATACCGCAGACTTCGCCAAGTTTATCTTTTGTCCACTTAATTCCTCATATTCATTGAGGACCACCATCATATTCTTGCATTCCTGAAGGGTTCCTCGTAAAAATAAGTACGAATCATCCGCAAAAAACAAGTGCGAAATCCTAGGGGCCCGGGGGGCCACTTTAACTCCCTCCATCTTCTTCTTAGCAATAGCCTTCCGGATAAGGGCCGAAAACCCTTCCGTACACAGCACAAAGAGAAGAGGGGAGAGCGGATCACCTTGACGTAATCCCCTAGTAGGGGAGAAGTATCCCGACGGAGCCCCATTCATAAGCATCGAGAACGAGGCCGATCGGAGGCACTCATAGATCCAATCCTTCCAGACATTGTTAAAGCCCATCTTGTCCAAGACTGCGAGAAGAAAAGGCCATTCAACCCTATCATAGGCCTTTTCCATGTCAACCTTCATGGCCATGAACCCTTTCTTGCCTCGCTTCTTAATTTTCAAGTAATGCATTAACTCATGTCCTAGTAGGATGTTATCAACAATTTGCCGCTCCCGAATAAAGGCGTTTTAGCCGTCATATATGATATCTGGGAGGATACAAGCCAGCCTTTCCACCATGATCTTAGTGATGACTTTATAGACAAACTGGCATAAGCTGATAGGCCGTAATTGTTTCATGGTCTCCACATTCTCCACCTTTGGGATCAACGTAAGCCAGGTATGGTTGAAACTGCGCAGCATCCTGCTTGTAGTAAAGAAGGAGCATACCGCATCAATAACCGATGGACCCACAATATCCCAAAAGGCCTTAAAAAACTTCCCCGTGAACCCATCCGAGCCAGGAGCCCGTTTAGATCCCATGGAAAAAACCATTCTCCGCACCTCCTCAGGGAGTACCTCAGCCGTCAGGGTGGCATTCATCTCAGGAGTAACACTTCTGGCAATGGGAAGAGCTGCTACTCTATCAGCCATGTTTACCACTTGGTTCTCAGTGGTAAAAAGATGCTGATAAAAGGCAGTCGCCACACCAGCCTTTCCTGGCTCATCAGTGACCCAATCCCCCTCCTCCGTCCGGAGCCCCTCCACAAAATTCTTTTTTCGCCGGGTCCTGGTCACTATATGAAAATAAGACGTATTCTGGTCACCCTTTTTTAGCCAGTTAACCCTGGATTTCTGCTGCTAGTACAGCTCCTCCGCCTCCCATTGCCGGCTCAACTCCATTTCCAAATCCCGGACCGCCTCCCAATCAATCGGATGGGAACCTTTTATCCTCCCAATTTCACCCTGCAGAGTATTAATATTCCTTAAAGAATTGGTCGTCCCCGCCCGACTCCAATCATACAACAGGTGACGCAGCCTCTTAAGACGCTCCCACAGGCAGAACATAGGAGAACTCCGAACTTCTTCTCGCCACACATAATTAACCATAGCTCTAACCTCCGGGTTATCCGCCCAGCGAGCATCAAACCGGAACAGAGGGCGGCAATTTCTGGCATAGGCTTTATCAGAGAGAAGAATGGCCCGATGATCTGACCCCTAATCTGTGAAATGTTTGACCAAGGTATCCGGGAACCGTTCCATCCAAAGTTGGGAGCAAAGGCTCCTATCCAGACGTTCCCGGATACAAGCTGCCCCCATCCTCTTATTAGTCCAGGTGAACTGATCCCCAAGGAAACCTGGATCATGGAGCCCTAGATCGTGAATAAACTCACGGAGACTATGCGCCTGATTTGCATTCCAGGGATTACCACCATCCTTCTCACTCTCATTAAGAGTTGTATTGAAATCGCCCATTACCACATAGGGTAGGTGGAAAGTAGAGCAAAGCTCCTGGAGGTGAGCCAATTGGGAGGCTCTGATCGCATTATTACAACTAATGTAGGCAAAAACCACAATATAAGAAAAATCAACTTCATTGATTCTGGTGCAAATACAAAAGTTCGAATGATAAAACACCGAAGCATCAACCCCGGGGGACCAAGCTACAACCAACCCACCCGATGCATCAATAGCATCAACAAAATAACAATTAGAAAGAACAAAACCCAACCCCCTCATACGACGGGAGACAACACGCCGGCTCGATCGTGTCTCGGAGAACAACACGAGATCCGGTTTATTCGAGCGAACCAAACCGACAGCCGTTTGGAATGTGAGGGATGGTCCAATTCCCCTCACATTCCAGGCCAAAAGTCTCATTTATCTGATTGGGGCCATTCTAGGCTGGCTTCCTCCATCTTTTCCATGTTCTCAGCAACTTCAACAAATTGTTTTTTCGGTGTGGGCATATCACCCAAATTACCCTCAACAGCCTCCAATGGGCGCTTGCGTACCCCAAACTCTGGGTTCGATAAATTGGTCCCATACTCATCCAGATATGAGTCATTTCCCTGTATCATAACCTGCTCCTGTGTAGTCGGATTAACTAATCCCATTTGTTCCAGAGGGCATGGCTGTGTCTCAGCATTGATGGCAAGCCCAGCTTCAAAAGCGGCCACGACCTGGCTCACCCGCCCCTTAATTTGAGCAGTAGGGGTCTTCGGCCCAGAGGCTAAGGATCTCTTTTTAATTTCGAAGCAATTTGTGTCCTCTTCTGATTCAGAATTTTCCGACACAAGAGCCATAATCCTCCCTTCAGTGGGCGCCGCACAATGTACTTGGCCCGCACCTTCACCCAGTTCCATGGGCCTGGGCGGTTTGGGCCCACTAGGGTTCCTTTGCTTCGGGCCTCCCTTCCTCGGACCAGCTCGGCCCTCAGTCACCTTGGACGGGCGTGTTTTGCTCCGCTTGGCGGGCCGAGTCTGAGAAAGCTTCGGGTTTTGGGGGATCAAAGGCTGGGCCGAGCCCGTACCCGAGATGGGTTTACTCCCATCAGCAGCAGTATCCCCACAGATAGCAGCCAATGT